TAATTCTCAAAGTTGCCTTAAGTGAAAGAGTACATTTTAGAAGGGCGCTAAAGAACTAAAGAACATTAGCGGGTATTTGGGGCTAAAATACAAATAAAACTTATATTCTTAGCTATTGGATCAGTTCATATATATATATATATATATATAATAATTACTATTAAATTCGTTCCACAAGAAAGTATTTTAAATGCGGAAGCGCTCTTCTATGCGATTTTCATGAATTGAAGACACATTGACTTTGATTGTTTCTTTACAAATGCATATATAACATTTATATTTCTACATTTGCCTTTTTTATCATTCTCGCTAACTATCGCCTTTCTATGCGATTTTCACGAATCCAGTTGCTGCTTTTTAATCCTACATTATAATTCCGAACACATTAGACAAGTACAAATAACTAACTAAACGCTTACTGTGCGGCAATTTCCTCTCCCTCTTACTTGACCCAACATGTATAGCACGTATTCTGTTTTAATAAAATGACTCCAATTAGACCTGATGCAAAGTTCTTTCCGCTTTCCTTCCCTCCTCTCCATAATAAATTTCCTGCCCAACGCATTAAATTTGATTACTTTCCATTAAGCGCAGCGCCAAGTTCCAAAATTCTCCGAAAAACTGTTGCCCCAATATACATATACACATATTGGATCCATTAAGTTGAAGGAGCTGCTTTTGGCTGTTGGATCGCCATCAACTCCTATGCTAACCATTGTCGCCATTTGTAATTGAGCCGTTTCAGCAAAGTCTCTGAGTCTCGTCGCAGCTTTCGGCCGCCTATTTATGGCCATATTTTGATTGCCGTTTCGCTGGCTTCAAGCAAGCAACCATCCATCCATCCATCCATTCTCCGGTAGCTGTGCAGCCTGTCAAGATGCATAAACTTTGTTTTCGTCACGCTGCCGCCTCGCCACAGACATCAGGCAACGTCATCCGCCAGCTTTTCAGTTCACCAGTCGTGGAACCATGTGGTGATTGTTTTTTTTTTCGCATTTTTACCTCTTTTGGGGCAGCAGCATTTTTTTATTATTATTAATTTTTTTTGTCGTCTGCTGCCGAGAATTGAGTGAGTGTCGTCATCAGACATTTTGGCAGCTACTTTGGCTACCGAATAACATTTTTTATTTCGCGCACACATTTTTTTGACCAGGTCAACACATTGATGCAACTGGCAAGGAGAATGCTTTTTAGAAATTGACAGGAAATAATTTGCTTGGCGTTCACAGGTTCAAAACTAGACAGCGGGCAATTTGCAGCAGCATTCTTTGAAGTTCAACTGCAACTGCAACAACTTAATAAGCAGCTTGCAACTGCTAGATATAAGTAATTTATGCCAGCTCCACTGTCTGTTTATATGCATAATTGCCCACTAACAACAAGATGGAAACCAATAAACCAGGCAGCTGGACCAGACCCAAAGCCAAATGCACAGCTGTGCCGTAGTCGATGACGACGACGACCAGAGAGACCAAAAATAGTGAAAATATTTTTGTATTTTATGCGCCGGTCGGGTCGATATGAATAAAATGCAGAAAACAGTAAAATGCTTTCAACTATGCGAGTCCGAGGTACACACAGCAACAACAACAAGAGCATCAACAACAACAACAGCTGCCGATCTGCACTTGTGGACTCCAGCCTCCAGTCACCCGACTCATGCGTGTGCCCATAATGGTTCGCAATTAATCAAAACCCAGCATCAAACACTAAATTCCATATACTGAAGTTTGAATACCCTTTCAATATAATATTTACAATTTTCTATGCTACGCATGCAATTTATTTAGATTTTTATCTGCGCTCGCTTAGTTTTCTCTTCAAATTATTTTCACTATTTTAGTTTAAAATTAAAATTTTTTAAGTGGAATAAATATTAAAAATAATATATATTATTATATTTATATTACTCTATGCGCTAGCTTGTTAGGTCTTGATCACGAAATATTTCATTAATTAAAATTTATATTTCTTCAAATGAAATAAATTTCACAAAGCCTTTCTATAAATTATTGAGGACTTATGCGTCCTCGGTGTTCAAATTTTTAATCCTTAATTTATTTAACTTTTTTTTTATATATGTATATCAATTGTAGAATATTTTAAATTGTTTTTTGTTCAACTCTCGACTCATATCAATTTATTCTTCATTGTCAGTTTATATTTGGAAAAAATTGGTGATCTAAGTTTTGCAAAATATTCAAATATTTATTATATCCACCAATATTTTTATTTTCCAATTTACTTCGACCTGCTCAATATTTAAAATCAATAATTTTAACAATATGACTTCGGCTTATAATCATGAGTTTTTGCTTCTTCCAACTGCTTTTTATTACAAACTTGATTAAAGATGCAATATACTTTCTTTAAGAAAAACAAAGCAAAACGAGATAAGTTTCTAGTCTATTCTATGTGTGCGCTTCTTTCTTGTGGCTGCCTTTTAGCAAATTTTATGGCTTGTTTACCTTATTAGCTGGCATTTCTGTTCCCTAAATAGCGCCTGAATAAAGTTGTCTTCTGTCGAATCGCTCAAATTGATCAGCTATTAGATGTATAATTATGAGTTTTTCTTGGCGATCTGTTTTCTTTTCTGTTTTCACACTCTAAGCTTTTCATGTTGAGTGCTTTGTTCATTTTCTCAATAGCATAAATATTTTAGTTGCCATTCAATTTGTCAAAACATTTAATCAGCAAAACTTTTCTCACTTAAGCTGTCAGCGCATGGAAAACTTGCACACAACGTGGGCATATCGCTGTTGAACGAGGTGGGCTGATGGTTGGGCAAATGGTGGACACCCAGCTCGGTGTTGAGTGGAGTCCAAATTTTTTGGCTACCGCAAATTTGTTATTTGTCAAAACATTTAAATGCCATTTGCGTGTACCACCGCATTTTGACAGCTGCCGATAATTTTTCTTGGTTCGCCACTTTTCACACCTTGCCCTGGCTTGGCCCATGGCGAGGCGAATATTTCTTCCTGACTTTCTAGACATTTGTTTCGACTCATTTAAATAATTACGGCTCGGTCGAGTTTTTCGTTGAAATGCATTTGGTGTTAAGTGAAAGTGATCTTTTGTAATATGGATGACTTTAATTTAAAGCTGTAAGCCTTTTTAAAGCTAATTGTGAAAAATTGCAAAGCTACTTAAAAGCTACTATTTTCATTTATTTAAGATTTAAATGATTCCTACAAAGTATTGTTTTCATAAATAATGCAACTAAAAGTCACGATTAAAGATTTTGTTAAATAACAAATACAACATAAACGTAGGGGAAGAAGACTGCGAAAATTAAAATTATTAATTTTTATATTAGTATAACTAATCGTTAATCATATTATTCTCCTAGTCTTAAGCCCACTTTGCCAGACATCTTTAAAACCACTTTTATCTACCTCAACAGCCGTACTTAGAGCTTAATGGCAAACATTCACTTAAACTTTTGTTAAACTTTCAACATTTGCGAATTCATCTATTCCTTATAAGTTTCACACAAACTACTCACAACATTCACGAATATTTTAAGTTTCTGCAAAAGTTTTTGAAAAATAAAACAAGTTAGAACAGTGCAATTAAATGCAACCGACTGCATAATACGCTTTACACATGACATTTTTAGGGGTACATCTAAAACTGTAACCCAGTTATATATATAATTTGTGAGCAGGAATATTTATTGCTCGAAGAGAACACAGAACATATTTCAGAGCTTTCTTGTTATTTTATGGATTCAAATAAATCACATCTGATTTTAAAGTGACTCCAAAAAGTAGGCCCTTCAAGCAAAGACACTCAAATTATCATCTATGGAAGACATAAAATTTTCAACATTTTGTGGGCAGAAATATTTTAACTCATAAAGACCATAGACAATTTTCCTATGAGATGTTAGTGCCAGTAGCTTTAAGACTTAGGGCGAAAAAGAAAACACGCCTCATTTTAAAGCTGCACCCCTTAGAAAAATGACTCACTATGACATGTTCACGACTTATTGAGCGACAGAGGCCATGACAAGAATCAAAGAGACCATGAGAAATAAGTAAATAATGTAAGCGAGTATATATTGACATTGAAAAGCTGCACATTCCACAAAGCCAATATACTCCTATTCCTTTTTGTGCACAGAGTATATGCAATTTCACAGCAATTACGTCAACATTTTTCTTTGGGACAAACAAATGCGAAAACTTTTTGTTGACATTTGCCAAAAGCTGCACACGCTGACACCAACAACAGCAACAACAAGAAAAGCAGACACACAAAGTTAGAAACAGCAACAACTGCAATTTTGAGCTACCAAACATGCAAATCGCATACCAGGTCAACATAGCTGGCCCAGTCCAGCTGCTACCAACTGCGCTGCTGGTCAGCGATAAACATTATCTCGAAAGTTGCCTTGTTTTTGGCTATCTATCCGTGAGATACATTTGCCATGCAGGCCAATCAATATGGCCACAGACACAGTCTGAGCTGAGATCGAGAGCAGCAGCTGTTTGGTGATTTATGGGCCAATGTACGAGGGCTTGTTCTTGACTTGTTTCACCAATTAAATTGATTGACATGGGAAAAACTGTCAAGTGCACTGAATATGAAGCAGAAAAGGTTTCACATGGGCATACACCATATTGTTAGCTTTTAGCTGGAGCGAAAGCAGCTAATGCAGAGCTTTAAGCGCACTTGACTACCTTTTTGAGCTTACAATTAATCTAACTTAATGCTTAAGGTTTAACTATTATTGCTTAATATAGTTGTTAATTAATATCGGATTTCATTAAATTGTATTAATGTCATTTAAAAATAACGAGATAATAAAATTAATCTTTATTAAAATTAAAATGTTTTTCGCCGAGCAAAAACAATCAGCCAAAATATTTTTCAGCTTAGCTTTCCAGCTTAATTTCCAGGGCCTTTACATATTGAAACCAAAGCTGCTTTTAAAATAAGTTTTTAAAAAATCAGATCTCATGCAATTGTCATTATACAACACTATTTCTTTACAGATTTGCGCCTGCGCAACACTCAACAGGCAGACGAGGCGATTAATTTTGGTGGGCTTTTCCCGCCGCTGTTCAATGTCGCTCCCCGCGCATCGATTTCAGTGAACGCGACCTGTGGCCAAAATGGAGCCGAGGAATATTGTAAAATGGTGGATGCGTTTCCGCATCGATCCAAATACTGCGGCACCTGTAATGCCTACAGCTCCGATCGTGCCAAGCAGCGACCTATTGAATCGCTCATTTCGCCCAGCTCCAGCTACGAGGAGAGCTGGTGGCAATCGCCGACACTTCAGGGTGGCCGTCAGTTTGAGTATGTGACAATCACCTTGGATCTGAAACAGGTGAGTCAACTGGTCTGGTCTGGGTCATAGATAACCAAGCACCTCTGCAATGGCTGATCACATGTGACAGCCAAGCTGTGATCCAGTTTGTAATTAAGCCGCTGACTTGTCACTCATTTACAAGCGATTTAACGCCCGTTTCATGATCCATCTGTTCCCTGGGGCTTGTCGCCGATCATTAGACGCTGTGCGCTTGAAATATGATCGCAGCGAGCTGGTATCGAGTTTGGAACCGGTCACTAGGTATTACATTCTAATGCTCAAAATGGCAAACATAAATTTGCTTTGATGGAGCTTTGATTAAGTCATATCGTCTTACAGACAAGCCGCGACTTTCTTCAGTTATTAATGATGGGGACACTATTTCCGGGTTTTGGATATTGAAATAGATGAAAAGTATCTGAATAGGAGAGGTCTATCAATTTCTGTTACAATGATATCGATTACCCAGATATAAAGATATAAATTATTCGATGATAGAAATGGCAGCTACTTTTTGTCGTGGATACAAGCTTAACAAAAATATTATTTTATGTATATATTTATCGACTATATCGATAAATCCGGATAAATATATTACTGGAAAAACTACCCGGCATCGCCCGAGTCCAGTCATGTCGTCAAAATGCTCACTTCTATGAATAATACACGAAATCAAAAGAACGCCCAGAACATTTTTAAATGATAATATATCATAAAGTCAAAAAACCCCTTAATTACGTTACAGCATGGATTTTCCACAGCTCTTTAAAGCCGAGTTTGTGAATAAACATTGTATTAAAATACATTTATATACATGTATCCGATTGCAAAAGCTTCCTATCATATCCCATCATTTCGAACTTTGGACACTTCCATCAACAAAATGCTTTAAGAAAATAACAAAAATCTGAAAAATAAATCAAAAATTCTGTGACAGACCGGGCATATCTCTCGTTCATGCAAAATCAACGTAAAGAGAGCGTGTAAATTTTGACACATGCCGTTGATGTGTTGAAGTCTCTCAGCCCCTGCCCTTTCAATGGAAATACCATTGACTGGCGCTGCCCTCTGGCAATACCATATAAACAAAAGTCATGGGAACATTTAAAAATCGCAGAGTTTTTTGTATTTTTTGTTTTGCGTCTTATTTTTTTTATATTTTCTGTGACATTTTAAAGCAATTTTTGTCGGCCTGTCGCCGTCTGACCAAAAACTCAGTTCAACATGTGTCAATTGTAGTTAAAATTGAAAATTGTCTCTGAACGTAGACTGACATCTACATAGAGCCCAATACGCATCCAAAAAAGGTAATTCGATTTTACTTATTTTATTTTATTACTGTATTTTTGTCTGCGTAAAGTTTAGTACTCTGGAGCACTCTAGAGAACTGACAAAGTTAATTAGGGTAGGATCCAATTTAAATATTTATATGAATCTGTGTTGGCGAGTTGTGGCTCCCGTTCATAATTTATTAATAACTCTTGGAACGCATGGCTGTCATAAATCTCTCATACTTGCAGGCATATGCGAAAACATTGTTTTAATACCCTTGCACAGGGTACAATATTTAACTAATGAATTGTGTAACGTGTCGAAAGAATTTCCATTCTAATTATCAATCAAAAACAGAACTTTTGCTTATGAACTTAATAAACCTGAACACAAAGGTAGAACGTGGATTTCTATATTATTCGCTTTGCTCTTCTTGGCTCGCTTTACGCGTTAAAATTCGCAACGAGTTTAAGCTTGAATCGAGTGACAAGGTGTCCGCAGTCGACAATAATGGCCGCCAATGATAGAACCAGCATTTTCTCGACTGCCTGCTTACATTTTATATTGATTTACTATGTAGAAGACACCCCAGTTTTAAATTTATATAACTTAAATATAGCACACATCTGCTTAATATATAAAAGGGTGTTTAAGTTTCGGCAATTTAAAATTAATTGTATTTTCTTGTTTTTAATTTTAAATCAGCGCCCGAGTCAGAGTCGGCAGTTCTATGCTCCGGTTCTCTGCACGTTTTAATTAAGTGTATACTTCCATAGTCTTGAATACATCTTGGTCTTGGATGAATCTTTGTCTTGTCTGCCGCGGCATATGGCAATGAAAGAATTATATCAAAACATTGAGAAAAACAACAAAATCTTCTGAATCGGGGGAGGGTTTCAACATTGGCAACGAGGCAAATGATGCCACTCGAGTGCAAACTGCACTTGAAATGTCAACTTTGTGTCGGTTGATGTTAAGCAGATGATAATTTCAGCACTTAATTGCCATATAGAAAAAGTTCACGATAATCATGCAGATTGCGGATTGTAATAATGATGAAAAATGAAAAATAATGATCGTGGGTTGGCCAAGCAGCTGCAAGTGCGGAAATACAATACTTTGTTGCATTTCGTTTGCTTCAAGCCGCAATGGAATTTCAATTAACACTTTAACGCACAATTAGCACTCAATGAGGCTTTAAAGATTCATGAACTGATAGCTGGGTGGGCTAGGTCGATTAGCATTAGCCGAATGTTGATGTAAACAATGGAAGGCGTAAGGAAAATAAGAAAATTGAACTCACCATCTTTGCAGTTACAGCTCTTTCTTCCAAAACATATTTTTCCAAGGTCTTGTTTTAGTATTCTCTACTTTGTCTTAGCTATTCCAAAGTCTATGCCTTAAATACATCAAGAAAAATATATACTTATGTATTTGTCTTATAATATATATATATATATTTTTTTATATTTTAAAAATAAATAAAAAGGGCCCAAAATGTGTATTTAAAGTAACTAAATTCTTGAAGATATTACATGCAATTATATTAAGCTAATAAGTTAACATAGAAGACCATAACGATGAATAAAACTGATACTTGTAATAAAATACTTGCAAGTTAATCCCTTGACTAAACAAAAATAAATGACATTCATTTCGTTTTATACATTTCTTATAATATGACCATGGAGGACCATTAGGGCAACAAAGCTGAAGGGGATTTAGTAGCTTCTACCAATTGTTGTTTAAAGTATTCCCCGAAAACTCTCCCGTGTAGCTGACTTGTCAGCCACCCCTCCGCACAATCTTCAGCTGCCCGTTGTCACAGGCAATTAGCACTCGTTTCCATTTCCATTTCCATTTTGTAAACCTCCCTCCGTCCCGCTCTGGATCGCTTAATTTAGTTCCATGCGCTTTGGTTGGAAATATTTTCGGCATTTGTCACAACTGTTTAAAAACACATTAGAGCAAATCTTTTCTCTCTACAGACACAGAGCATTCCGCGCCAAAGAAATAGAAACCAAATTTATGACCCCGGACAAAAACTTGACATTCGTTCTTGAAGTTGCTTATTTGTTTTTTCATGGGCGACAAAAACGTCGAAGTCGCGCGAGTTGATTTTAACAATTAGACTAATCGAGTGATTTACAACAACAAGAACAACAACAGTAACAACAAACAGAGCGAGACAGGCATGTGTCAACGATTTGACAGCTTAAAATATTTTTCTCGCTAGTTTGGTAATGCCTTTTGCAATAGCCAACGAAGCCGGCCGGAAAGCTGCTTGCAACTGCCAGTCAGCCGCCCAGAGAGTCAGCCAGTCAGTCAGTTTGTCTGTCAGACTGTCAGGGTGTCAGAGTGTCAGAGTGTCTGTCAGCTTGGCTTGCCGCACGCTTTGGCCACAACAATGTTTAGATTTATGCTTCAATGGCTTTGGGGCGCGCGTGACTAATTGAAAGTCTAGCGAGAATTCTGGGAATTGCGATAAATTGAGCTAGCACAGTGGCTTTCAAACTGTAAATAGCTTTAAAACGCTTCGGTTTTAGTTGGCAAAATTATAAAAATAATATAAAAACGACAATCAGTTTAATAGAAATTTTAAATTATTATAGTAAGCTGTCTAAGTTTAAAACATTTTAGAAGAAATTAGTTTATGCTCAAAATTAACTTAAAAAGAGCTGCCAAAATTATATACAAATTTAAAATTATAAAAGTGGAGAAATAATATTTGATACGAATTAATTCCTTTAAATAGAAATATTAGAAATATTTCAAAAATTACAGTTGACAATATTTCATCTCAAGCAGCTTGGAAAACATTTTTTACTGATTTGTATGCCTTTAGAAATGCCAATTTTTTGCAAATGTTTGCCGAGCGGCAACATCAACAAGCTAGGCAACAGAAAAAATGTGTTTCTTTTATTTTTATAGGCATTTAATTGCTTCATTAAATTTAGCCAAATTTGGCCAAAGTTGTTGTTGCTGTTGGCGGCGGCGCCCGCGGCAACTTGGAGGCTTTGGGGCAGGCTTTACGTAACTGTAATTCAAATGTTTGACAAGTTGTTGCAACATTCGCAACAGCGGACCAACTAAAACAACAGCAACAACAACAACAACAACAACAGCAACAACAACAACAACAACAAGCAAAGCGTGTTACAAGCCACGTTCGCAACGCATTTAGGCGTTGCAATTATTTTAATGGTCAATTTATTTATTTGTTTTGACTGTTGCGAATGTTTTTCACGTTTCGCCTTTTTCAGAATGCTTCTCGTTGTTTAAACTGTTGTTGTTTGCATTTGCATAAATCACTTGAAGGTTTCGCTGTTAACGTGATTGAAGCTTTGCTTGAAATCCTTTTATGTCGCTCTTTCCGGTTAACGGCCACTTGATTCGAGCCCAAAGGCCGCAGTCCGGGCTGTTATTTAAACCAAGTTAAGCTAGTTGTTCTACTTGTCAGCTGCGAGAATTGAGTTTTCTCTTTGCTGCAGTTGCATTTAATGCGCCAATTTAACGATAAGAAAAGTTGTGGGCCAAAAAAGTTTGCCTTGCTCAAGCATTGAACTTTTTATTACCCACGCGCAAAATAAGACAAGCAACTGAAACAAGTAAGAATTGATAAAACCTAAAAAGTATGCGACAGAAAGATGCTCTATAAATAAATTAAAGGACATAATAAAAATAGTCGATTTATTCATCTATATAAAGAACTCTTTGGTCTTTCTCGCTTTGGACTCTATCCTTAATCGTTGTGGAAAAGAATTTTTTGTTTCTACTTAAAGCTTTAATTAAATTATCCTGTTTTGAAAACTTAAATTAAATATTTATGAAAATTTACAATACAACTATTATGTCTAATATAAAATTAACAAAGTTGGGGTGACTATATAAAACGAACTGGGAGATCGATTGGATAAGAATTAAATATAAAAGAAAAATTAATTTGTAAAACGGCTGAAGCTGATTTATCAGACTAAGCTCTCTTTTCATACCTTCTCTCTTCAATTTCTCTCTCTTTAGAGAGCAATATTTGTCTATTATGCTTTATGTCGCATTCTTAAACGTTGCACTGGCTGCGCAGGATTTTAATTAAATTGTATGCCTTATTAAACCTTGACAGATTTTTCCTTTTTTTTACTATTCTTTATTTTTAGCATTCTGATTTGTGTCGTGCTCTTAAGCCTTGCACTGGCTGCGTTTCATAAATAGAATACTAATATACCCTATTCTATTAGGTTAATAATGGTATATAGTCTACACCTTCTGTCTGCCATGTGGGTTTATTGGCCACATAAGCCAAAAAATTATGCGCTTCGCTTGTTGGCCGCCTTATCTAAATACATGCCAGCCAAAAACTTTTATTTCTTGGGCAGCAAGACTTAATAATTTTGAAAATATATATAGATAAAAATAAAATGATGTAGATAATAGACATGTGAGTAATATGCATATGACGAACTACACAACCAAACACATAACTAAATGCCTGCTATTTATTTATTTCTTTTTTTTTTTTTTTTTTGTCTTTATTTTCGGCTGTCTGCTAGACTTTTGTCTGTCTCACACAATTTCGCGCTTGTTTATTTTTAAAGTTTACGATGCGACGATTCGGTGAGTTTTTTCGGTGATTACTGCATTTGGTTTTATGGCCTAAAAGTTTTTTCCTTGTTTTCAACAATTAGTAGGGGTAAAAAAAAAGAAAATGTTGCGCCCGATTAATTCTGGCTATTGAGCAATAAATATTTAATGAGCAGAAAACCTGCAAGTTAAATTATAGACTGGCAATTGTTGGTTTATATTTTATCTAAGCCATAATTCAATGGCCGAACACCGCTAGGCTTTTTCTAAAGCTCTATAACAGCCTCTATCAATTCAATTAACTTGTCTCACTTGCATATTTTAAACATTCTGTTGTCTAATTTGACATGCAGTTTATCAGCTAGCTGGCATCTGAGAACGGGTTTCATTTTCATTTTATGGCCAGTTATCAATGGGAAGTGCATATAACAATAACTTGAAGCTGACCAAATATTAACACATATTTCAATGCCACGCCTTGAATGTGCTTTTTTCTCTCTTAGTTTCCTTTTCTCTACCATCTCCCCCCTCTATCTCCATATTTCTTTGCTGTTGTTTTCCCATTTGTTCAACACGTTTTTATTGTTGTTGTGCTTGTCAATTGCCCGTCAGTCCAATAGCTGATAAAAATGTCAAGTGCCGCCTTGTCTGCCCCGAGGGCTGACAGCCTCCACTTTCTGCTACTGCAGCTCCTGCTGTTGCTGCTGTTGTTGCCGATTGCAATCTACACAAATCTTCCACTGCCCTATAGAGAGACTCTACTCTGTCTGCCTGTAACGCTCTTATCGACAACTTGTTTCTGGTCAGGCAGCAGGAAGTTGCAGTCGAAGACGCGTGCACTTGCATTTTGGACCTGACTTTATCTCTGATCAAGGTTAGTGCAATTGACGTAGACAACATAATTTCATGAGATAAGTTATCGATAGGCTGCCATGGCCATGGAACAATTGCAATGGGAAAGAATCTATATAGACAATTATTTTGAGATTGGTTTGATACAATAATATATATGAATATATATTTAACTTTTCCTAATGTTTTTTTATGACAACTTGCCTCCTCCATGTAATTATTTATCATCCATCTGGATATGTTCTAATTACCTCTATATCTACTTTCCTGTTCTATAATTACTTTCCTGGCGAGCACAAATATTCTATATATTTTGCAGTCGTCTTCCATATTAACTTGTATTGAATTCACACTAATTATAAAAAAATACTTTTATTAACCCATTCACTTTACCTCCATGTTCACTCGTCTTGTGTGTTCTCAATTTCTACACGTTAAACCAGCACATGACCTCGAGAACATGTTCACTTGAATTGCATAAAAGCTTCTCAAAAAATCATATTAGTTTGCATGCCCACCTGTCCTCCTTGGGCACCTATGTCACCCACCGTTAAAGCAGTTTTTCTTTTTCACTCATACCTCTGAAAATCTATTCATACCGTTTTTTTTCTTCTGGTTCACAAATCATTTGGCAGCATGCAATAAATTTCTCAAGACATTCACTAATTTGCCTGGTCAGCAATTTCTTACGTTTGCTGTCTCTATCCGATTCGCTATCTCGCTCTAATCTTATCAGCGCATGTCGTGCCGCCTTCTGGCAGCTGATGTTGTTATACCCTGTACGAATCGAAAGTGGGTTTAATGATTTGCTGCGAATGTTTGTTACAATGGTAGAGGGCAACATCTCTGAAAGTTTATCTGTATAGACACGTAGGGTTTGTTGTTGGAAATATATATATATATTTTTGTATAGCTTAAGTAAATTAATTTAATCAGTTTTTATCAAATTTCCTCTCAAATCATTAAAAATCGTTTTTATAGCAAGGATTGGCAAGCTTATCTAATGACTAGATTCTCGTTTAGTATACACATATCAAAAATATTCCACTTCCTTATAACAAAAAGAGATAGATGTAAAGGCCATCATTATGCCATAAGATAATCACAAAAATCCAATGATAAACCCAAAAGTTATTTAAGAATGAAATTTGCAAAGCGCAAAATACGAATTAAATGCACGATTTTGTAGCGATAGCTTAGAGCAAGGTACAGGGTATTTTCGAGTCGTGCACACGCAACATTTGTTGGCTGTAATCAAAACCAGGCAAAGCAAATTGATGTTGCCGCTGGCAGACGCACGCATGCGCAGTGCTTGGCTTTGGCCTTTTTTAACCAGTGGCTTTTCCGCCAGTGGCCAGCACTGCGTGCGTTTTATCAGCGTCTGCGAATCGGGAAAAACTAGCGGCGAAAATGTGTTGTTGCAACAAGTGCCGTGGAAATTTGATAGACTCGTTGTTGAATGTCGCCTGTCGCGTTGTGTTATCGCAATGCGACTGACATTTTGGCCATGGCTTATGAGCGGGTTTTTCTTTTTTTGGGGCTCTTGTTGCTGGAAAATGTCGCTGGATGGCGCCAGCCGGCTTAGCCACGTTTTATAATCAATTACCCAGGCTCAGAGCTGGTCAAAAGGCCACACCTTGCACACACACACACACACACACACACGCCTTTTATTGGTTTTAGTTTTTCCATTTATTTGTATTTTTTTTCGATCTTTGGCAATCGATAGGCCCGCAACACGCGACATTTTTGGCATTTTGGCCAAACAATTTTCCAAATAGTCAAGAAAATATATATATAAAAACATATAAATATCTCGTGTCGGTTGCTGCTGCCGCCGGGCGTGTTGCTGGCGTTTGCGAGTCGCCTTCCTTTTCTTTTTTTTTTTTTTTTTGGTTTTTGTTTGTTGACAGCTTGCAAAATTTATGACACGATGGTGGCGTTGGGTTAAAGTTTTTTTCTTGCACCCAGCCAGCGGCAACAGGCGGCTGCTACAAATCTATAAGCTTTGCTGTTGTTGTTGCAGTTGCAGCTACAAAGATGTATACAACTAAATGGAAACATCAGCGCCTTGCCCCAAAGTGTCAGAAACAACAACGCTGTTCGCCGTGCGGCTAATTTATAGCGCAGCCAGTGAATGTAAAACTGTAAACTGTAATATTGTGGTTTGTTAAGTTCCCAAACTAACTTTTGGCCATAAATGTAAATAAATATGTGACTTAAAACATATAAAGTGAAAAACGAGCGAGCGGCTGTGTTAGTTACAAAATTACTTGCTAATTATGTTATAAAGTGACCATGGAGGACCATAATATGGGGGCAGTAGACTACGGCTAATTTGGGCATATTTGCTTATCAGATCTATAAAGTGACTGTGGAGGACCTGCGCTTGTAAAATTACATAAAAACAACGGAGGACTTGGTATTAAAGATCAGTACAAAACGATTATTTACTCAAGCGACCATGGAGCACAGAGGACTTAGGCGTGCTTTCAGACAGAAGCCTTATTTACGGACAGCTCATTGATTACGCTTTTAATTGGAATATAAATTGATATATAAATTATTTATTAATAAAGTGACCATGGAGGATTTGGCATTTAATACCAGGTTTGCTACGTGCCATTAGAAATATGCTTTAGCTGAAACTATACAGGGATCCTTGGTTAGTAAAGTACGATTAGACATTCGTAATTATTCATCTTTTTTTAAAGTGGCCATCGAGGACATGAATATTCGTTCTATCTGCTAAAATGCTAATTTCTCCCAAGTTCCTTTAGTTAGGAAAAAAAACTGTAAAAAGGACAGACAAGAAAATGTAAAAATTATTGCTAAATCAGGCTATGTTTAAGTGACAATGGAGAAGCGAGCTTTATGTTTAACCAACTCGTCGCCGACCTTTAAATTTTTATAAAATTTTATATCATTCCACCTGACAATCCACTTAAGTGAACAAGAAGAACATACCTTTCCCACATTCTGTTATATTATTGCTTATAATAATGTAATTATTTTTATTTATTAATATTATAATTGATAATGATAATATTATTATATTTATTTCTTTCTTCTCCCGCTTTTCAGACCTATCAAATATTTTTTGTCATGCTCAAATCGGCAAACTCACCGCGTCCCGCTTCCTGGATTTTAGAAAAATCAATCGACGGCATTAAATACGAGCCCTGGCAATACTTTGGCTTAAGCGATGCGGACTGTAAGCGACGCTACAATCTGTCCGGCCGTAATGGCAAATATATATTTAAAAATGACACCGAAGTCATATGCTCAACTCAGTACTCAAAGCCGCTGCCGCTGGAGAATGGAGAGCTGCACGTGTCCCTGTTGAAGAATCGACCTGGCGCACAGGAGCAGACGCCGGAGCTGATGCAGTTTATCAGGGCGCGTTTTATGCGCATACGATTGCAGGGCATGCACTCCACAGCGAATCTGGACAATAGCGTCGATTGGGTGCTCGACTCACAGTCGCTGGAGAAGCGCAGTTTCTACAGCCTCAAGCAGCTGCGTGTCAGCGCCCGCCTGGACTGTCACGGCCATGCGAATCGCACCCAGGATGTACCAGGCAGCTCCATGCTGCAGTGCGTCTGCCAGCACAATGCGTGCGGCATGCAGTGCGAGGAGTGCTGTCCACTGTTCCAGGATCGTGCCTGGACGCCCGGCGGAGATTGTGAGATTTGCCAGTGTAATGGTCATGCGCACAGCTGCAGCTACGATTCGTTTCTGGAGCGTGGCATTTGTCAAAATTGTGGCAACAATACGGCGGGCAATGAGTGTGAATTCTGTGCCGGCGGTTTCTATAGGCCCTTCGATGCGGCGCCCAGTGAACCCTGTTTGCCCTGCGCCTGCAATCCGCAGCGCTCGACGGGCAGCTGTGCGCCTGTGGGTGGCGCCTGTCATTGCCTGGAGGGTTTTCAGGTAAGAGTTGTTTAATCGACTTATCGATTTATTCAATACCTATCGATTTTTGTATATTTCGATGTGCATTGTTACTGATTACTCCATGTTTGGTAAAGAGCTTAAATTGTTTAGCGTCTTCTTGCGTAAAAGTTAAAGGTGCTTATTCCGAAATCGATATTTATCGATTTTTATGCAAGTGTAAATATATTGACGGTTCTTTCATATTTAAAGAATCTTTTGGAATGTCGTTTTTAGGAACTATTTAAAAATATATCGAACGATTTTAATTAATCGATATATTAAAACTATAATCGAAAAGTTAGAGTTTGAAGTGGATATTCATCAATGGATATTTATCAATTTTTTTGTAAGGAAATAAATTGACAGTTTTTCGATATTTAAAGACTCTCTTAAAATATAGAATGTTTGCTTTTTGGGAAATATTTAAAGATATTTTATATAAATACTTAATGTCTCGATATTAATTAACTAAATTTTTCAAAAGCCTATCCATTCATCGACTCTTTACTTTTTGGGAAAATGAATCGATAAAACTATAAAAATTTCTTTACTTGCAGGGTGCCCACTGCGAGGAGTGCGCCCCGAATCACTATGGCGACGATTGTCGGCGCTGCGAATGCGATTTACGTGGCACTGTGGCGGGCAGCGCCTGCGCTGGAAGTTGCCAGTGCAAGGCTCATGTGGAGGGCGAGACTTGCGCGGAGTGCGCCACGGGCTACTTCGACTTGACCGAGCAGAATCCGGAGGGCTGCAGTCGCTGTTGGTGCTCGCACGTGTCGGACACTTGTCACAGCGCCAAGCTGCAAACGTTGGCCTTTGAGACGCTGAACGATTGGCGGTTGACGGACATACAGCGGGCACAGGCCATCCCTGTGGCCATGGATGCGGAACATAAGCGTCTGATCTTTGGTAATGAGCTGGACGAGGTGGAGGCGATTTACTGGCAGGCGCCGTTGGGCTATCTGGGCAATCGATTGACCAGCTACGGCGCCCGGCTACAGCTGCAGTTGTCCTGGGTGGTAATGCGCGGCGATACTTCAGGCAAGCCCACCACAGGTCCAAATGTTATTCTATGCGGCAAGAATGGCCTGAAAATAGCCTATGCGGATGAGTCCTACGACAGCCTGGATCTGGCGCTGAATGTTACATTAACGGAGCAGGGCTGGTATCATGTGCCGCCGGCGGTGAAGGATATCAAGACTAGACTGAGACGCACCGAGGGTGGCGACTATCATGGCGAGGTGGTGACCAGATCACAGTTTCTCTCCGTGCTCGTCTCACTGGATGCGCTGCTCATACGCGCCGCCTACCACACAGATCAGGTGGAGACTTCGCTGGAGCATGCCATTATTTATTCGGGCGGTTTTGAGCTGGGCGGCAGGGCCACAACGCAGGTGGAGCAGTGCATTTGTCCAGCTGGCTATACGGGTTTGTCCTGCGAGGGCTGCGCCTTTGGCTACAAACGCATTTATGAAAACTCTACGGATCATCAGCTGCTCGGCAAATGCATACCCTGCCCATGCAATGGACACTCGAACTCATGTGATCTGCAGAGCGGCAACTGTGGCGATTGCATGCACAATACATATGGAGAGCGGTGAGTGAGGGGTGGAGAAGGGGACCTAAAGCCTAGAGCTGCCTTCATTAAATACAAATACACTTATGAGAATGGTCAAAGGGGATCTCAATTTCTTAAAATTCAGCCAATACATAAACCATCGAAAGGGATATTTAATTCTTAGAATTTAGCCAATACAAATATAATCCACATAGAGACTATGTTTAGATAATAAAAGGTCAATAATGTGAGCGAATCCCATTGCATCTGATTCGCCTACCATTTTACCTATGCAATTCAATTTGAGTTTGTTCAAAAATGCACAATTCATTCTCAAAGATGAACAAATGATTTAGTATTTAACTGATCAGATCATAATTATTCACTTTCATGAATGACATTTAATTCAATCCACCTACCATCCACACTTGCAACGTACCTTAAGCCTATACACATACCAGACAGTGTGGCGTGTTAAACGGTGTGTAAATTGTGTACTTGGGGTGAGAAGTAAACCAAACCCAATCACAGCTCATGCAGCTTCTTCTCACCTATTATTTAGCCAACTCAATTACCATCCACACACGCAGAGCAGGCCACACAATTGTATTCTGTTTACCCAATTCACCTACCATACACATAATACACTCTAAGCCTGTACACACACGCTGTGGTATGTATTTGCACCAAAAACTCACCACAACTCACCATAACTCATATTAGTCAAGACACGCACCTTATGCAGCATTTTTATTCTCTACCTTCTCCAGCTGCGAGCGTTGCCAGCTTGGTTTCTATGGCAATCCGCTGCAGGGCACGCCCCACGACTGCAAACGCTGCGCCTGCCCACTGCTGGAAGAGTCCAACAATTTCTCGCCCAGCTGCCAGCTAAAGAGCTACAACTATATGGATCTGAATCCGCAATTCGAACTGATCGAGCATGCGGAATACATATGCACCCAGTGCCCGGAGGGCTATACGGGCGACCATTGTCAGGTGTGCGACGATGGCTACTACGGCAATCCTTTGGAATTGGGCAGCAGTTGTCAGCGCTGTGATTGCGAGGGTGGTCCGTGCAATGTCACCAACGGTGCATGCATCACCTGCTATGGCAATACGGAGGGCTGGCGCTGTGAACGGTGCAAGCTGGGCTACTGGGGTGATCCGGCTGTGGGCTGTGAGCCCTGCAACTGCTATGCCGATGGCTCAGAGAGCGGCCTCTGCGACAGCGCCGATGGCCAGTGCCTGTGCCGGCCCAGATATGCGGGACAAAAGTGCAATGAATGCGACATCGGCTATGCCCATATCGAGCTGCAGTGCCTGCCCTGCAATTGTGATGCACTGGGCGCCGCTGTGCTGGACAACTGCAATGCCAGCACCGGACAATGCGAATGCAAATTGGGCGTCATGGGCGTCAAGTGTTCTGAGTGCCAGGATGGTTATTTTGGCATGAATGTAAATGCCGAACAGCTGGAAGATTTGGCTGCACTGCGCCAGGCCGAGAACGATGCCGACTGGGAATTGATAGGCGAGAATGACGATGAGCTCGATGCTATGGCCTGTGAGGGTGAGTACCATTACACTTATTTACCTACACAACATTTTATAGAATATTTGATCAAACATTACACTGCACAAAAAAGTATGCTTCTCAAAAAGAAATAATGCAAAATATTATTTAATTCAAAAAGTAATTATATTTAATTTAAATCCTTTTTTTTTCGAGCATATTTTTGGGTATATTTTTCCAAAATAAATCTAGAGCATAAATCTTGCTAAGAAAGCTTGAACTCAAGAAAGGGTATTAACTAGGCTGATAAGCATTAGAAATTTAAAACCTAATTTTGACAATGTTATGAGAGCTTGAAGTGCAGAAAGGCAATTATAGCAAACCTTTTTGGGGACTTTAAAAGTCTAAATAGCACAATACCTGAATGGAAAATGTTGTATACCAAATTTGAGTCATTCGATCTTTTGATATCAAAATGGTTTAAGTTTTTACAGAACATTTAAACGCGCCTAAATCTATTCCATTTTCCAAAAATTAAGAACAAAATTAATTTTTGAAGTAAAAGTACATAATTTAGATAATTAGAATTTTTTTGGTAGTCATTCTTAAAGATTGCAACACACACACCATATAAAAATAAAACTAATTTGCGGTTAAGAACAAAGAAAATCTTAAAGTACTCCATATAATGTGAAATATTCCATATTCCCATAATCTATTTGTTGCCCACTCTGATAGATGACTTTGTGGTTGCACCTATAAAAAACAGATGTTCATTTGGGGCGTAACGGGGCGTGGCAGTCCATCAGAAAGCACAGAAAAATGCGTTAGATCTGTGCAGCAGCATGTACATAATTCAATTTTATCTTCGCTTCGTAATGCGCTGCAGAGCTATTGACTTCCGAAACAAAAAACGTTTCGAGTTCTTTGGAAAATCAATTACACGGCCTAACCATAACTTATTAGCTAATTAACTGCCAGTTAAAACAAAAAGTGGGTAGCCAGCAATAAAATGCCAAAAGTAACTACCCGAACTAACGTCAAGCGAAGCCAAAGATTTTTGCATTTCAACATGGAAGCTTGACCAAAAAGTTACGCAGCAATCGGAAGCAAAGGTCGATTGGGAAGCGTAGTAAGCCAACTGAGTGTGAAGTGTTCAAAAATGTTACAAGTAATTTCTTTTAATTTCAATTTCATTGAACTTATTTTCTGATAGCACAGAATCTAGACCTAATTCGAACCTTATGAAACACAAAACATTTATTATTGTGGGATATGAAAAACCTGGTTTGAGTTGTGAAGCAAACCTAGTTTGTGTTATAAATCGAATTGAAAAACATAAAGCTTAGAGGCAACTCTTGAAAAAATACTGAATTAAATGCAATTTGAGTGCTTCTTCAAGTACAACAGCAGCTCGGTCAGCAGCAAAGGCGGCTGAAGAATAGATGAAGACCCAGTCGAGTGGTTTCTTTTAACTGCACTTTGGGTTTGTTGCCCAGGCGTGTTACAAAACAATAAATTGTTATTTGAGTACAGCTTGTATTATAACTGCTTTTTTTCTGCTTCTTCTTATTTTTGCCTATTGTCTGTTTGGTGTTAAAAAATGGTACAAAAAGACTTGGAACTTCAAGGAGAACTGCCTCACAGTCCATGAGCAATATCTAGTTACAATGGGGCGCTGTAATGGGCAATATATGATGTATGGGTAGAGTGTGTGTATAGAACATCAAATTAGATTTAAATGCGCGTAGGTAATGATAATAATGCTTATACAAATGGACACAATTTACAAAATGTTACTATTTGTAGAATTGAATAGAAATCTAAATTAATAAACATAAATATAATGTTTATTATATTTATCAAATTTATATATATATACATATATATATTTTAAATTAAAAAGAACGTTTTTAAGATAATTCTTAGCCATTTGTTTACTTTAAACAGACTCTTAATTTTATGAAAGTCATCTTTAATAGATTTAAAATGCATCGCATGCCTCTCTCTCGCTCTCTGATTTCATCTAATATTCCCATATAATGAATTCTAAACAATTTTTTCTTAAACTCCGGTTTGCTTTCTGCAGCTTACCATAAAATATCAAACTGTTCTCCATGTTACTGAAATGGCATTTTATTAATAAAATGTTTAGAGCTTTATATAATCTCATAACGTAAATCAGATCACCTGCTCTGGCTAATAAAAAAGTTGGCAGCCCACATCTGGATTTCGTAATGCCTTTATTTTTAGACCATGCAAAGCCCACTAAAAAAAATGCATTTTATGCAAAACAATTGCAGTCAACAAACAATTTTGTAGTCGAATGACAACAACACAAATGATTTATGACCCCTGTGCTGGAATTTAAGTTATGACGGCATAAAAGTACAAATTTTTAATGCAAAACTTGGCCAAAATAAAAACCTAAAAATACGAATAAGTAAATAAATAAAAGTGCGCGGCTAAAAACACATTAGGGTCAAGAGTCGAAAACTTAGCTTGATTGAAGAGACTTCAGACGCTTGCAACATGTTGCAAGCTGTTGTTATTGTTGCTCAACAATGTCCACAATTGCTGACTTTTGGGGTCGAAGCATCAAGCCGCTTAGTCAGTCAAAACTGGCCATTATACTTAATTAACGAATTTGTGGTGTTAGTTTGATGGCACAGTTTGGCAGGCACTGGCTGGCAACCCGTTTGCGCATTCTTTGACCATAAATCTGACACTTTAATCTGCCAGCTTGTGACTTCTGTGCACTCAAGAAGTCAATGGCTAAAGCCTGTTTGACTCTCTCTCTCTCTCTCTCTCTCTCTCTCTCTCTCTCTCTTTCTCTTATCGATACATCTCACTATCTCTCAGAGCCAAATGACAATAAAAAAGGCCTGGACTTGGTCTTCGGTCTGCCACACACAACGGTAGCCACACAGTAGCCCGCAATCCCAAAACGACTTTCATAGCCAACACCCACGCCAAGTGGCTGGCAAAATAACTGCCCAGTCAGCAGCTCAAGATATTAGATTAGGAATGAAAAGTGATTGAGAGGCTGGTTTGAAATTCCTTAAGACTTTGGGGAACTAAAAACTGAGGCCCAATAAAATATACTTTAGTAATCGATAAAAGCCGTAGAATTGAGGGCATAATACAAATAACAAGAGTTTAGGTAGAAAATTTGCAATAACCTCAGAAGAAGCAAAATATTGTATTACACCGAAGCCTGCCATTTGAGTTTATCGTAAAGAAAGCTTTAATAATTGCAGCTTAAAGCTTAGCTTAAAGCTCATAAGCAAGCTTTTACGATAATTTAGCTAATGTGCTTTCAACTTCATATAATTAAAATGTCTTACTTCTAATCTTCCTAGGTTTACAATTTTGTATTCCCAAAGAAGCTTTCATATGCTTTGAAAGCTTTTATCCCATAACTCTTTCAGCTGTTGCATAAGCTTCTTTTTAGTCCTATAAACTTGCCGAACTCTATTATTTTAAAGCTTGTGAAGATTTTTTTTTAAATAAAGGCTCCCAAAACTGTTTTTGCTGTGCGTTCGGTTATATTAAATATTCTCAGGCAGCTTGATTATGTTTTGCCCCCTCTCTCTTTTCCACTTGGCCAGATTCTTTTGACCTTATACATTTTTGGTTCATTGAAAGCCTTTTATAAGGCACCGCCAACGCACACGAAATTTGTTATAACTTCATTTTGTGGTTGCCTTTGAGGCAACCGCAAAAGCGAGCACAATTGCAATTAATTTTAAGGTATTTAACACAAATATTTGAAATTGTTTCACTAATCAGTTTTGGCCGAAACGTAAATCGGCACGGGGTGGAGCAAAGTCAAATAGAAGGCAATGACAATTTTCGCATTTCGATTTTGGTTTCGGTGTGTTTTTTGTTTTTTTTTTTTTGTAAATTTCGTTGGGGTCTACCCAGTCGCTGGGCATACCAATGTCCATAAAAATGTCAACCACAGCAACAACAACAAGAGGCAAGTAAAATATGTGCCGCTTGACTTGGATTGCCAAAGTGGTTTGTCGCGGAGCCTAAAACTGGACACCATCTCGTTGGCTCCATGCTGTCTGAGACTTTGCCGTGGTTGCCGCGGCAGCCGCTGCTGTGGCATGTCTGTGGTGAGCGGCAAATGGAACTGATTACAAAATATGACCAGCGGCTAAATGTATGCGCCGTTTGCTGCTGCTTAATTTCTTAGATAGCAAAGACTTTGGTTGCCATTTTATATATACATACATCTATATTTTTTCTTAAGTCTTATGCGTGGGTTATAAATTTTAGACCACAAACGCACGTGCTACCGTTTGTTGTTGTCGTTGTCCACGCTAATGACTAAACCAACTGCCGAATTGCTAATGCAAATGAGCTCCTTAAGTGCCCCAGTTTCTGTCTTATTTGCAAATATGCGCAACTACATGCGATTTTTTTTTCAATTGGCGGACAAAAACAACTTTAATTTGAGAGAATGTTTCCAGTTTGACATGGGAAAATAATTGGGGATCATATACAAGCGCGCAATTAGAATATCAAATTAAATGAAAAATAGACAATAACTAAATTAATACCGAATTAAGCAATTATAATTGCACCTTAGTTTATTCCGTAATTATATACGTCTACCTTGCCCTTAATTTCATGTACCATGTACCATGTACCATGTACCATGTACCATGTACCATGTACCATGTACCATGTACCATGTACCATGTACCATGTACCATGTACCATGTACCATGTACCATGTACCATGTACCATGTACCATGTACCATGTACCATGTACCATGTACCATGTACCATGTACCATGTACCATGTACCATGTACCATGTACCATGTACCATGTACCATGTACCATGTACCATGTACCATGTACCATGTACCATGTACCATGTACCATGTACCATGTACCATGTACCATGTACCATGTACCATGTACCATGTACCATGTACCATGTACCATGTACCATGTACCATGTACCATGTACCATGTACCATGTACCATGTACCATGTACCATGTACCATGTACCATGTACCATGTACCATGTACCATGTACCATGTACCATGTACCATGTACCATGTACCATGTACCATGTACCATGTACCATGTACCATGTACCATGTACCATGTACCATGTAATGTACCATGTACCATGTACCATGTACCATGTACCATGTACCATGTACCATGTACCATGTACCATGTACCATGTACCATGTACCATGTACCATGTACCATGTACCATGTACCATGTACCATGTACCATGTACCATGTACCATGTACCAAAGATTCGCATGCATATTGATCAACTTTCTAGTATTCTCTAAAAAATTTTTTTTAATTGCCAGGAATAATATAGAAGTTTTATGGACCAACTTTCTATAATTTCTACACTATGTTATAAAAATGTTGTGCACGTTGTGCATTTCATTAGAATCTATGACAACGATAAATTTATATATTTTGCACATGTGCAAACAATTTTAGATGCTTCAGCGGTTAACTGGGCCAAAACAATTACAAAATTATAGTAAACAGGTACAATAACGAGCCGAAAACATTTTACTTAACAGTGTATGAGTGTGTGTTGTGTGTGTGTAGCGAGTATTTTTTTCACAATTGCCAAAGACAAGACAGAAAATTGCAAATACAAAAAGCAACTTTATACGTTGACGCGAGACTTGGGACGCGGACTTCAAGTCGGACTTCGAGTCGCAATGTCACAGCAAGGTAATCAAGAAGCGTCTAAATGGACAAAATGGAGCAACAACAACAACAACAACAAAAACTGCGTCAAGTCGTTGTTGCTGCTGTTGTTGTTGGCCTGTCAACGCATCTCGGTTCGAATGATGACTGGAAATGGAGCAAGCACATCCTCAGCCTCACGTGGCAATAAATTTCAAATAATTCTCCAGCGACTTGTGACATAAAGCGTCTAACTGTAAAAATCGCTTGCTGCCAGCTGGCAAACGAGTAAATGAAGAAAAAAAAGTGGCTAAAACGAGAGTTCCACAGCCCGAGGACATGCAAAGCACATCGTGACACTAATGAATGTGGCTAACAAGCGTTTGTAATTGTTCGAGCGACAATTTGCTCACAATTTAAATTTAAAATTTATTGGTCATTTGGCGGACCCCAAATGCCTGGCAAGCTGTGGCCAACATTAAGCAAACCAAACACTTGGACTTTTGGCATTTTCATTAACTTATTTATGACCCGTCTGCAGTCGCCTCTTGTACTCCTGTTAGCATATCTTTAACTGCTGTCCACGTTGCCATGTTTCTCTATCGGGCAAATGTCCGAAGGCCCAAAAAAAAACACGTCTTCAATTTTTAGGCTGGTGTGATTTTAATTGCAGCTACAAATGTTCTCTCAGCGCATTTCGAGTGCATATCGTTGTATCTATCTAGCCTTTCGTGGGTTCGCTTTCAGTTGCACATGAT